CTTTGGAACCTGATTGTTCCCAGCACCGTGAGCGAACCTGCACAGGTGTGTGCTTCTCTAGTGAGCCTAAGCAGCTGACAGACCAACACCCCTGTGACTCTTTGCCTAACTCTGCTTTTGCTGGGCTCCTGAGTAGCCTCCACCTTTGACACTGTGGCCTTGTCATACATGAGCTCATTGTGGACACACAGAGGCATCTCAAAGACTCTGACATTTACAGAGTGTCATTTTACCTGCGTGATTGCCGACACCATCCTCTAGGTTGGAGTCTGTCAGTGGACGTGCCCATCCTGTGGAAACAATTGTATGCTATCTCTCTTTTTTCTAGAACTTCCCTTTCCTTTTCATATTATATCAGCTGTTCTCTGTTGCTGTGATAGGACAGCGTATGGAAGAGTGCATTTTGGCCTACGATTCCAGAAGGGAAGGCCATAATGTTGGGGAGGCGTGGTAGCAGGTGGCCGGAGCAGGACGCTGGGAGACTGCATCTTCAACCGTGTGCGAAACAGGCTGAAGGAACAGCAAGGCTGTGAACTCTCGAAGTTGCCCGTGACAGACTTTCCTCCAGCCAGCCTTCATGTCCTAAGCATTCCATAATCCCCTGAACAGTGCCACCCAGTGAAGACGAAGCCCAAATGTATGAGCCTGTGGGGATATTTCTCCGTTAAATCACCACACATGCATGTGCATGTGTGATGTGCATGTGTAGGTGCATGTTTGCATTTGGGCACTTGTGTGTGCATGTGTGTGTACTTGCATGTGTGCACATGTGTATGTGTGCATGCGGTGCAATGCAGTGTGTGTGTGTGTGTGTGTGTGTGTGTGTGTGTGTGTGTGTGTGTGTGTAGGCCCAAGGCTGATGTTGGGAATTATCTCAATCTCTCTTCCACCTTATTCTTTGAGCTAGGCTGTCTCAATCAAATCCAGAGCTCATTTGATAGGGCTAGTGTTTGGATCTAGCTTGCTGTGGGGATCCCATCTTGGACTTCTGAGGCTGGAATTATAGATGACTCACTCCGCCCGCTTGGTCTCTCTGGAGATCGGAATCTGGTCTTCTTGCTCCACAGCATGTGCTTTGCCCACTGAGCCCCTCCTCAGTTCTCTTCCCTAGAGCCCGAGTTTCTAACCGTCGCTGATGGTTTGCTTTGCTCCCTGGCAGCCGCAGCTGCACCTTAGCCCTGCTCAGCTGGAAGGCAGGATGCAGCCTCTGTGGTTTGACGGTGTTCCCCAAGGGTCCCCTGAGGGTCACACTGGTTAGGTCTGTAGTGTGCTGTGTCCCCCCTTTCAGCACTTAACTCTGTTTCTCTCTGCCAGCCAGTCAGGGTTCGGACTGGCCTGGCACAGAGTGGGAGAGCGGAACCCCCTCCCACATGGCAGGGGTTCTGACTCAGTCAGGGTCATCTCGGCCCTGTTGATGATGGCCCACTGCTGTGTGCCCGGACTATTGGATAACAACAGGCAACTTGGATCCCATGATGCATTGGTGCCAGCACTCATGTTTCATCTCTGAGAAGCTCCTAATTTACCAACGAGAGCCTGGCTTTGCTCTAAAAGCCCAAAGATCCGTGCTACGGCTCACTGTGCCGGCCGGCGTGTTCTGGGCCCCTATACTGCAGACACTCCAGAGTGACTGGTCGTGCTCCAGCAGAAGGCCCCAGGGAACATTCTAGACTCCCATTTTTCCTTTCTGGTCATACTAATTCTTACATTTCATGCCAGTCAGCATATGGATTCTGATAGTTGCTAAGTACGACTCTTCCAGGTACAGATTAAGGAAGTAAAGAACCAACTAGAGTGGGCCTGTAGAAATGTTGGGGCTGCTGTAACTTGAATTTGGGTCAAAAGTCCGTTTATCACCTGGCCACCATAGCTGAGTCAAAACTGATCAGGCATGAATGTGTTGGATTCGGGGAGGCGTTTGCCAAGGACCCTGGCAGGGAAGGGGGAGAGAGGAAAGGCACATTCCATAAATATTTAAAGCAAATTATTCCTGAATGGGAAGAAACCAGCGCTGTAGTAACAGCATGTGCAGTGGCCAGATAATGGGTTCGGCATGGAAGGAACTAGAAGGAACTGAGGGAAGCGCCATGGCTCCATTCTCTGGAATGGAGGTTTGGTGAGGGGAGTGAGGAGTGAAGCCATCCGGGTGACATCATGTTCCAGCAGCCTCTGCCCACAGGTCTGGGTGGTGGACCGCTGGGCGCAGCCAAGGGGACAGGAGAAGCTGAGGGGATGGCAGAGCATGAATTCCCTCCTCGCCCTAATTAGTTACAGACAGCAGCTTAGGTGGGGAAGGAGGGTTTGACCCTCACAGGTGAGGACCCTGCTGTCCGTCACGGCCAGAGTGTGGGCCGGGCCGCCTCACCCTGAGCTGCTCAGGAGGCAGAGAGCAGGGGTGTCCCCGCACATCTGTGGGTGCACATCAGAAAGTACCGAGCGTGCAGGAGAATCAGTGTTTGGGACAGGTCTCAGATAGTCCAGGCTAGCCCCAAACTCACTTTGAGTGGAGGATGGCCTTGAACACCTGCCCCTTCTGCTTGTCCCTCCCAAGCACTTGATCAGAGGTGTGAGCCGCCACCCTGGGCCCCAGTTGACGAACACACTGACGCCAACCAGCCTCGTGCACACTGCCAGTTAGCTGTCGGTGCCCCGGCTCCGTGAGCACCAGAGACACAGGACTTGGTGATTTCATCCCTGAAACCTGGATGTGTGTCAGGACAGAGGAGAACACAGAGGGGGTAGTAAGGAGGGGCGTTGGGGGGCGGGGGTGAGGGTTCCCGCAGGGGGGAGTAAGGTCATTGTGGTCGGGAAGGTCAGGGGGTGGAACACTGGGAGGAGGCTCCCCTGCAGAGGTAGATGGAGAAGAATGGGTCTTGTTCTCTTTCAGTTTACTTTGGATTATTTGTGAGGCCAATCTTTTTAGCCTGGTCTTTGTAGAATGCTAAGAAATACAATTTGCTGTATAGGGGTAGAACAGTCTAAAATGTTCATGGTCACCGCATGCAAAGGACCCCATTTTATCCTCCTTCTCCAAAGTGAGTTCGTGGAGTGTGGGATGTCTCTGTGTGTGTGGGGTGGTCTTGTCAGCTGCCTGTGAGCACCCTGGTGACAGACGGCAGTTGTTGGGCAGCCTCACGGTGTGCTCGCTGGGGCGGGCAGCGCTGGTTCTTAGCAAACAGACGGAGGTTTTCTTAGGGGCTCACTCTGCAGCAGGGTTTCACACTGTGACTAGACCTCACCTTAAGGAAAGACATTTTAGACTTTGGAAATTAAATAGCACATCATTAAATTTTGTCGTGAATAATTTAGATTTTAGAGAATATTTGAATCCTCAAAGACATGTAGGAATGTGCTTTTGTGTACTCTGCAGATTTGGGGGACAGTTTTTTCTTTTGAGTCTCTGACTACCAAAAGCTAAGCACCCCCCTTTTGGCGGCTCTCTACATCTAGGATAGCTGTTGATTTAGGGGCGTTCCCGGGGCAGCGAGAAAACTCACTTTGGAGTTATTCCAGTTTGGGTGAAGTGGCCGAGGTGTCCTCCTGCGTCCCAGAGGCAAACGTCAGTGTCGTCTGGAGAGGCCTGGCTGCAGGCTGCACAGTGCTGCTCTGTGCATGTGTAGAAGCTGTACTCAGTGGAGACTGGAGCCCTCTGGGACCAGGATTCGGAGTCCGAGGGATAGAAAAGGTGGAACCTAAGGGGCCTGGGGTGGGGGCCATGGGAAAAGGTCGGCTTTGCCTTATGTAAATGTCAGTGGAAGACAAAGAAACCTCTCCCTAAGTTCACCATGCAAGACCAGGCAGGTGTGTAGTACATTTGCTTCTGAGAAGGTGACAGAAAAACAGACTCTTGACAACTGTGGGCTCAGTTCGTGGTTCTGCTGACAGGACCCACAAATTGCATCATAAAGGAAATAATGGTACATATTAACTTAAAGTTAGGAACTTCTGTTATATTCAAAGTTAAAAACAAACAAAACAACCCAAATCAAGCCACAGACCAGGAGAAGGCACACATCACACGAATAATCCCCCATTGAGCTTCTAACCCAAAGGACCAGAGAATCCAAGAGAAGAACAAACAAGACTTAAAGGGCCCTTCACCCACATGTCTATCCCTAGATGTTCAGTTAACACATGAGAAGATGCTGAGCTTCATGAGGATCAGGACAGCTCATAGCATATCTGTCTCATGTGTATACACACACACACACACACACACACACAGAGCAGACATCCTAAACTAATGGACAGAAAGATTTGCTAATGAAACTGTTGCTGTCCACCTTTCTTTGGGTCTGTGTCCACAGTTTCCCAAAAGAACTAGAGTTCATTTGAATGGTCGGGGCTTCCAAGCAAGTTTAATATTAATGACCAACAAAAGGCTGGTACCCATGGTTCTTCTTTGATCTTGGGACACCGAGAGCCCTTTGTGTGCAAATGTCCTGGTTGGTCGCCATCTGTCACTTGGAGAATGTATCTTTCCACTGGGCAAAGGCAAATGAAATCAGGATGTTGTTTACAGCATGAGCAGAGATGTTTGACACAGCCTTGCTTCTGCATAAATGTCCAAGCTTGTGAAGTGCAGCTGACTGTGCCTGGCCGGTCAGCGTGGCTGGGACTGCACCTCTGGAAACACTTGCCTCAGTGGCGTTTCAAACAGACACTATCTACCGTATCGGATCGGGAGCAGTAATCTTTGCCTGGTGCTCTTTGCAGGCTGGTGATGTACATCGAGAGAGACAGCAGAAAGACCTCCCCGGGCAAGGACCTGCAGGGTGGGAGCGAGTACCTGGCCAGGTGCCTGGATCTCCTCATCCAGCACATGGTACAGGAGCCACCCCGGATCCTAGGTAAATGACAGCGCCTTATCCAGGCCCTTAGTTGTTCCCGTTCTGCAGTGTCTCCTGCATTGCTGCTTACTCAGTCTGCGTTTCTTCTATTTTAAAAATGAATTGCTTGGGAATTTTATATGTTCACTCCCCTCAACTCCTCCCCTGCCCACCCTCTCAGCCTTCCCATCCCTTCCCACCCAACTTTGACTTCCTCCTCCTCCTTGTCATTGTTATCTTTGTCAGTCTCCCTCATCTTCTTTTCCTCCTCCTCCTCCTCCTCCTCCTCCTCCTCCTCCTCCTCCTCCTCCTCCTCCTCTTTCTTCCCCAGTCAAGCCCAGTTTGCGTTGCCCAGTTCATCTTGGGATTGGGGCTCTGAGGTGTGATCAGTCCACTACGGTGTATCAGTAAAATAAAAGAAAGCAACCCACTAACCGACTCCCGCTCCCAGCAGCCATCAATGGTGGCAACACATCCGTTTCCTCATCTCCAGGCTGGGATTTTGTCTGGCTGGAGCTTGCACAGGTCTCGTGCATTCCCTCACAGTCTCTGAGTCTCCCAGTTTCTATTGTTGCAGGGCAGTGTGAAGACATTCCTGGAATGTGTGGCTTGAAGACTTACATTGCCTTGTCTGTTTATATGATTGAGATGTGTTACATTTGCGTGTTATAGCAACTCTTTTTCTTTTTTTTTTTTTTTTCCCTTTTTTTGAGACAGGATTTCACAGTGTAGCTTTGGAGCCTGTCCTGGAACTTGCTCTGTAGACCAGGCTGGCCTCAAACTCACAGAGCTCTGCCTGCCTCTGCCTCCAGAGTGCTGGGATTAAAGGCGTGTGCCACCACCGCCCGGTGATCATAGCAACTCTTATACAGAAAGTATTTAATTGGCACCATTATCATGATGACAGGAAACATTGCCGGTGCAGGCAGACACGGTGCTGGGGAGGCAGCAGAGCTCTACCTCCGGATCAACAGGCAGAAGGGAGAGATGGCCACTGGGCCTGTTTGAGCATCTGAGACCTCAAAGCTGTCCCCCAGTGACACACTGCCTCCAACAAAGCCACCCCTACTCCAGCAAGGCCACACTTCCTAATAGTGCCATTCCCTATGAGCTTATGGCCATTTAAGAAAATAAATGAGCTGGAGACCAGGATGTGGTTCAGTCGGCTCGGCTCACATGCATGAAGCCGAGGGTTCCATCACTAGCACTGCATAGAGTGTGGTGGTGTCTTCTTATAACCCAGCATTCAGGAGGTAAAGGCAGGAGCTCAGAAGATCAAGGTCATCCTTAGCTACACAGCACGTTTGAGACCCTCCTAGGTCTCAAATAGAAAAAAAAAACAACCCCAAAACAAAAATCATTCCCAACAACAATATTTATATTGGATTTTACATGGTGAGTTTAAGTTAATTTTCTCAAGATTTCTCTCTGCCCATAAATGTACTTGATCCTAACTGAAAGGTTGAGAAGTGATCTGCCCATATCCTAAGAAGTAAATTTCCCTTGAAATTAGAGCCATAAATATATTTATTATTAAAATAATTTTTAAAATGTATATTTTGTTTTGTTATGTTGGTTGGTTTTGTTGTCATTATTGTTGTTTGAGACATGGTCTCTTTATGTAGCCCAGGCTGGCCTGGGACTCAGAGATCTGTCTGCCTTTGCCTCTTGAGTGTTGAGACTACAGGTGTACACCATCACACCTGTTTTAGTTTTTTGTTGTTGTTTGGTTTTTGTTTCATTTTGTTGAGACAAAGTTTGGGGTGGAATTGAACTCACTGTGTAGCAGAGGCTGGCTTTGAACTCCTGATCCTCCGGCCTCTATCCCCCAAGTGCTGAGATTTGAGATGTATAGCACCACATCCAGAAACACAGGTTTAAGTTTCTAATTTGAGACATTCGAGGTCGATGCCACAGGTTTTGGTGGTGGTTGCTGTTTGAAGAGGTACCTCTAATGTGAGAACATGTAGTGACAGCCTGCGGGGGTGCTGACTGCCCTGAGGAAATGCCTTGCTGGAGCTAGAGTTTTCCTGCCTTGCCCACAGTCAGGACAAATCTCTGTCACCTGCCAGTCCCACAGCCGCTCAGACCCAACCAAGTAAACAGAGACTTATATTGCTTACAAACTGTATGGCCGTGGCAGGCTTCTTGCTAACTGTTCTTATATCTTAAATTAATCCATTTCCATAAATCTATACCTTGCCACGTGGCTTGTGGCTTACCGGCATCTTCACATGCAGCTTGTCCTGGCGGTGGCTGACAGTCTCTCCCTCCCCCTTCCTGTTCTCTCTGTTAGTCCCGCCTATACTTCCTGCCTAGCCACTGGCCAATCAGTGTTTTATTTATTGACCAATCAGAGCAATTTGACATACAGACCATCCCACAGCACTTCCCCTTTTCTTTCTTTCTTTCTTTTTTTTAAAGAGGAAGGTTTTAACTTTTATACATCTCTAAAGCCAGCTTGGTATATTTGGGAATTTGGGCATAGCTTCTCTTACTACTTCCTGCTGGAGGGGGACATTGTATATTATGGGGACACAAAGAAAATATTAGGATTATGGAGTAGTCCATGAGGTTGTATTGTCTGAGCCAGTTGCCTTGAAATGGTTCTGGATGTTGGATTATCTGAGCCTTGGTGTCATTGGAGACCTTTCAGGGGGTTTTGGCTGGTCAAACCTGATATATCTTAATCTGGAACAAATCCATAGCCTCTGGCTTTCTGTGGAAACAAAAGCAGAGCCTCCTTTCCAAAGCAACATATCCTTAGATCCAAATTTTGAAGTCAAGATACCTTTAAAATACACATTTTGGCATAACTCAACAGCTTTTGTAATCAATTGTTTTTCTTCAGTTACAAATATTAAAGAGAACATAATCGAGATTCTCTGTGTGGTAGCCATCTTTACGTAGCTTATTTTTTATATTACCTTGAGCCTATTGCTTTAAACTGCAGCCTTCTAAGCCTGAAACGGAGCTGTGGCTGCTGGCTCCGCCTACTTCAGCTTCCCAACATGGCGGTGGTACATTTTCCGCCAGCTCTAGGAGCCATCAACTCTCAGAAATAGTGGGTCTATGCTTCTATCAAAGCAGTGTGTAGCCCAGAAACCTTTTTTGTTTTGTACTAGCAAAGGCTAAATTCACCACGCAGCTTAATGTACCACTTGCAGAGGCCTCATTCCCACCATACTGCAGGTCAAGCGCACACACCAGGAACCCGCCATAGTAGCTCAAACCCACAGGCTGCCACTAACTTGAGAGAAACAACTAGGAACTGTTTTTAGCTCCATTTTAGAATCTTTTTTCTCAGGTTTTAGGTGGAAACTCTTGCCAACACGTTGGGCGCCACCTTGCTTGTTGTTTTCGGGAATTAAAGTGACATGAGGAGGGCTCAGGGCTGCTCTGGCTCCTTTCTCTTGTGTTTCCAGCAGGTGTAGCTCTAACCCAGAAGTGTTTGGCACATTAAGTTTGACTCAAGCCATTTTAGTGAAGATGAGGACATCATTGTAACTGCCAGTAACTCTTACTAATCAATTAGGAAACATTTTCCATCTAATGACTGAAAA